CTCTATCTCACAACCAATCTCATGACTGAAATCATGACCTGAGCTGAAATCAAGAGTTGGACGCTTAACTGACTGAGCCACCTAGGCATCCCTACTTTTAATGTGCGTTGACTTTTAATGTGAATCAAATTTCTTAACATACTGGGTTTGCTTGTTGGTGTAACACATTATGTTATGAATACCTTGCATTAGTGAAATTAGCTATGCATTTATTTGTCTAACTATCACTTAGGGGCTGGGATTCATTAGGAATTAGCAGGACACTTCAGGATGACAGGAATTCTAGAAAGGAAAAGGAAAAAAAAACTGTAGAAGGAAAAAGGAGACCAACTGTTTGGGCTCCACTAGGCCACCAGTGTAAAATGATGAAATGAAAATACAGAAAAGGAGATACAGAAGAGGAAATTCAGATTCACATGCAGGAAGTTGGTTTTTAATTCATCTCAGAGAGGGCATGAGCAGGTGCCATAGGGACAGTGATGAATACTTCAAGGGCTTGGGTTTGGTCAGAGGAGTAATTTAATATTCTTACTTAGGGATTAAGGATTAAGATGAAGTTACCTGTTAATTTCCCTCTTTGCTGTGGATCAGAATAAATTGAGTAGAAATGTAATCAAGTGAGAGTTGACTTAAACGGGGAGGACTTGCAGGGCTGGACGCACTTGTAAACAGAAATAGGTGCTGTAAGGGGGTTAGGAGGCAGTTTTACCTTCGTCACATATGTGGAGTGTAAGTGCTTGTAAACATTCATGTGGGTTAGAAGTTCAGCAAGTAAAGTGGGGAATTTTTTTTAATGTTTATTTTTGAGAGAGAAAGAGAGATCAAGCAGGGGAGGGGCAGAGAGAGAGGGAGACACAGAATCAGAAGCAGGCTCCAGGCTCTGAGCTGTCAGCACAGAGCCTGACACAGAGCTCGAACTCATGAACCTGGAGATCATGGCCTGAGTGAAAGTCAGATGCTTAACTGACTGAACCACGCAGGTGCCCCAAGTGGAGATGTTTCTTTATGCCATCTCTCCAGAGTCACCACTGTTAGAAGTTTATGTATCTTTTTAGTGTTCTCTGCATGACTGTATGACACACACAGATGCATGTAAACTTGGCTTTACACATAGGCACGTTAGTTAGGGTCACGTATTATGAAGTGTTTCTCAACTTGCTTTTTTGACTGACAGCATGTCTTGGAGTTCTTCCCACCTCAGTTCTTAATGACTGAAGATCCTTTTTGTTCTTAATTGATCCTGTACATTGCTTTCTTTTTAAAAAAATTTTTTTTTCAACGTTTTTTATTTTTATTTTTGGGACAGAGAGAGACAGAGCATGAACGGGGGAGGGGCAGAGAGAGACGGAGACACAGAATCGGAAACAGGCTCCAGGCTCTGAGCCATCAGCCCAGAGCCTGATGCGGGGCTCGAACTCACGGACCGTGAGATCGTGACCTGGCTGAAGTCGGACGCTTAACCGACTGCGCCACCCAGGCGCCCCTGTACATTGGTTTCTAACATGAATAATAATCGTTCTGTTATTTAAGTGGATTACATTGGTAACACTTGTAAATTTTGATACTGCTAAAATCTTCTCATCCTCCAGGGACTATAGTTGGTTTATTTTTTATTTATTTAAAAATTTTAAAAAAAAGTTTATTTTTGAGAGAGAGACAGAGTGTGAGTGGGGAGGGGCAGAGAGAGGGAGAATCCAAAGCAGGCTCCAGGCTCTCAGCTGTCGGCCCAGAGCCTGATGAGGGGCTTGAACTCACGAACTGTGAGATCATGACCTGAGCTGAAGTCAGACACGTGTCCAACTGAGCCACCCAGGTGCCCTGTAATTGGTTTTAGATAGTGAAAAACCTTATTACCTTCTAATTATATACTTTGCAGCCCTTTGACGTCTGTTTATTAATAACAAAGTGAGGCCTAGTTTGATAATGTTCTATAGCTTCGAAGATGGTTGTTCAGAGGGCAGATGTCTGAGTCCTTGTGGCTCCTGCCATGTGTCACCAGGTGTTTGAGTCACTTGAATTTCTTGGAGTTGGCTTTCTAATAGGGCGGTGATCTCACCTGTGCTCCTGACTCATGGTCCCTGTGAGTAGACATCTTGTTTTCTGATTGGGTTTTGGGCACATTTCTCTGGCTGCTGCAGTGGTTTGTAGGTGGAGTGTATTTGGGTGTGTCTAATCAGATCGTCCCTATGTTTTTTGTCTCCAGCTTTGTTCTGTAAATCATATGTACGAATAGTACACATCTGTGAGCACTTCTATGGTTTGTTTAATGTAGAGGGGTGCCTTATTAAGCAGAGTTTTTATTTTTGGCTTGTTAGAAAGTCTGAATATATTTTTATTTCATTACAGATAGGTGACCTTCAGCTTTGCAAACTTGATGAACTAGATTGTTTAATAAAAGGAATTTTATACATTGACTCAGTTGGATTCAATGGACGGTCACAGTGCTATTACTTTGAAAACCCTGCTGATGCTGAGAAATGTCAGAAGTTACCATTTGATTTGAAAAATCCATACCCTCTGCTTCTGGTGAACATTGGCTCTGGGGTTAGCATTTTAGCAGTATATTCCAAAGATAATTACAAGCGGGTCACGGGTACCAGGTAGGTCTTTTATATAAAGGTCATTGCTCTTGATATCGTGATGAGCTAAAACTGAGTTTTCAGGTATTGCATATAAGTACACCTTTAAGAATGTGTTAAAATTATGTGAAAAGTAAAAAAAAAAAAAAATTATGTGAAAAGTGGTTTTTTTCTGGAATTATGCAAACAAATATCGTTTCTCTTTGAAAATTCTGATTTCTTGACTTTAATCTGTATTGTTCAATATTTCATTATCATAGTTCGGTAAAATATTTCATTGGCAGATTCGTTGAAGCCCACAGTCCCTGCCCTCAGATAGTATATGATGTGCATATACCATAAAGTTACCAAAGCTACTAGTTAGCATCTATAAGGAGAAGACAAGGCAAGATCCCAGCTTTGAAACTGGCCTGGATTTTATACATACATGTGAACATGCACATACTCACACTCACACACCCACGGGATGGTCTGAGATCTAGAAGGTGAGGTACTGAGCAACAGAAACATGATTGGAGGAGGGTAAGCCGAAAGGGGTGGAGAAGTGAGTGGCAGGCAAGAGTGAATATGCTGTGGTTTAAGGATTAGAGATCATTAGATGCAAAACAAGGAGCTGGGGTTTGGGATAAACAAGGTTTTTTAACAGGTGTCAATTACAGAATGAGAGGAGTAATTTGGGGGGAGAAAACCATTAATGGAGAAGTTCTTTGCGGGGTGGGGGGACTGATGAGCCAGGATGACAGGGGGCTTAGAGAGACAAAGGGAGGAGGTGTTAGCATGGCCTGGGTGTGTGGCGGGCAGATCTGCGCCCAAAGCTCCTGACACTCAGCAGATGCCCATACTGCACTGGGGGCGCAGGCAGGGAGGTGGGCCCAGTGTTTTGCCTCACTGTTTTTGGCTCTTGTGAGTATGTACCTTCAAGATATGTATCAGGGGCCCTGAGTTTATCTTTCTGCAGTCTTGTCTGCCAGTGGCATCTGCAGGATTGGGTTAGGGCAAGAGTGGGTTGATGTACGGATATAATTTCCAGTTCATGAATAATTACCTTCTCGTTCTTATTTTTAAAATGTTCTAATAGTGTGTTGTTTGTTTTTAATCAGTCTTGGAGGAGGAACTTTTTTTGGTCTCTGCTGTCTTCTCACCGGCTGCAGCACTTTTGAAGAGGCTCTGGAAATGGCATCTCGTGGAGATAGCACCAAAGTGGATAAACTAGTTCGAGACATTTATGGAGGGGACTATGAGAGGTTTGGACTGCCGGGCTGGGCTGTGGCATCCAGGTAAGGGGGCTTGTGTGTTCTGAGAAAGACAGGAATAAGATATTAAATATTGGATGTATCTTTTTCCTTTTAAACGGTTTTATCCAGCTATAATTTACATACTGTAATATCACCTGTTTAAAGTGTAAATTTTAGTGGTTTCAAGTATATTTACAGAATTTTGCAGTCATCACCATAGTCTAATTTCAGTACCTTTTCATCATCCCAGAAAGAAACCTTCTGTCCATTAGCTGTCACTTCCCATTTCCTCTACCTCAGTCCTTGGTAAACACTCATATATTTTCTGTCTGTAGATTTGCTTGTTCTGGACACTTCATATAAATGGTGTCCTATTATGAGATTTTTGTGACTGGCTTCTTTTCACTTAGCATGTTTTCAGGGTTCATCCATGTGGTAGCATGAATCAGTAGTTTGAATTTCCATGTGAATTAAAAACAATTTTAATGTTTTTATTTAGAGAAAGAGAGAGCATGAGCAGGGGAGGGGCAGAGAGAGAGAGAGAGAGAGGGAGACACAGAATCCGAAGCAGGCTCTAGGCTCTGAGTTGTCAGCACAGAGCCGGATGTGGGGTTTGAACTGGTGAACTGCAAGATCATGATGTGAGCTGAAGTTGGATGCTCAACCAACTAAGCCACCCAGGAGCCTCTCCATGTGAATTTTACCATCACCTTATCAGTGGCTGCAAAAAAGGCATTTAGGATTTTGATAGGGATCCTGTTGAATTTGTAGGTCATGTTGGAGGGTATTGCCATCTTAACATTATCAAGTCTTCTGATCCAAGATAAAATGTCTTTCCATTTATTTAGAATTCTGCTTTTTTTTTTTCCTTTTTAATGTTTATTTTATTTTGAGGGGAGGGGCAGAGAGAGGGGGAGAGAGAATCCCACTGTGAGTGCAGAGCCAGATGCAAGGCTTGATCTCACAAACTGTGAGATCATGACCTGAGCTGAAATCAAGAGTTAGATGCCTAACTGACCACCCAGGCGTCCCCTAGAGTTTTGCTTTCTTTCGCCAAAGTTATATTTCTAGTTTTCAGTGTATGGTTGTTACACTTCTTTTGTTAAATACATTTCGAAGCATTTTATTCTCTTTGATGCCATGGTAAATGGAATTCTGTAAAAATTTTATTTTCAGCTATTTAGAAACACTTGTTTTTTTGTATTGGGACACATTAAAATTTTTTTTTAATGTTTATTGTATTTTGAGAGAGAGTGTGAGTGGGGGAGGGGCAGAGAGAGAAGGAGACACAGGATCCGAAGCAGGCTCCAGGCTCTGAGCTGTCAGCATAGAGCCCAACGTGGGGCTTGAACTCACGAACCACACTTAACCGACTGAGCCACTCAGGCGCCCACACGTGATTTTTTAAAATGATAGTAAAGGACCACATATATATGTGCTTATGTGCTAATTTCAGGGACTTTGTAAATGCTGCACGTTTTATGTTTGAGTTTGCAGCTTTTGTGCACTGTTAATCACTTCCTTTTCTGTTGGGTTTGTGTTTTGATCGGTTATTAATGTAGCAGTGCTGCTCTACAAGTACTTTGAAGTACTTGGCCTTCTAGGGAAATCTGACACTCTTCTGTAGTTGACTCTGGGACGCCACTTTGCTTTACTCTGATAAAGCAGTTTCCGAGCTGCGAACGTGACCATTCAACTGATTGGTATGGCTGCGCAGCTGGGACTGAATCGCCAATAGAGGTGTCTCCCTGGAGCTGTCCTCTGGCTGCGGAAGGCACAGTGGCGCCTTAGAGTGGATCTGATGAGGTCCTAACTGGACGTACAAAGATCTGTTATCAGTGCTAGATGTCACTGGGAGCTGTGGGGAAAGGCATTTACTTATTCAGAATGCTTGAGTGGTTTCTTCCAAGTTGCATTTCTCTTTGAACAGATGCTCTGTTATTTTGTAATAAATGGTTTGAAGATTTGAACAATGTCGCCCTAAAAGTCACATTTATCTTAGTAGAGTAACATTCAAGTTCCGTTGGGCTGTGTTGTCTTTTGGTTCAGTGGCCGCATGTTTTTTTTCTTCCTTCACAGCTTTGGAAACATGATAAGCAAGGAGAAGCGAGAGGCTGTCAGTAAAGAGGACCTCGCCAGAGCAACGTTGATCACCATCACCAACAACATTGGCTCAATAGCAAGAATGTGTGCCCTTAATGAAGTAAGGGGACCTGGATTTCTTTAGATGCTCTGAGGAGAATACAGAACTTACTAAGTGGGCCTCAGCCCTGTGTACAACGTCTGTCTTGTCCGCACAGTACCTGAGTATAGTTGTATGGGGTGGAGTTTCATTGGCCATGTTAAAGCTCTTCAAGTGTAGACTGCTCTTAACTGATGTTTTTTCCTCAGTGAAGATAAATATTGCCACTATGTAAAAGTAAAATCACGTCTTTTGAGGGGAAAGTAGGAAGGTAGGAAGGCAGTGAGAAGTCCGGGTGATGGGGGCTTTGGGGGGGGG